TTGGTACTACTAAAGAGAAACATAAGATGGATAACATACAATATCTTCAATAGGTCATAGAAAGATTAAAACATCAGACATGAAGAAGTTAGGAAGACAGAAACAAAAATCTCAGGCAAGATAATGACCTTTACGAGGTGTGAAACAAGCTTGAAAGAACACTGACACAACTGAAAAACAAACCAAACATAGCAACAGGTGTGACAACAAAAAGTATTTATCTCTTCATCTCTCTTGCTCAGTGCATTGCCTTACTCAAATTTAACGAATGTTCACTGATTACTGCTGCAAAGACAAAAGAGAAAATAGATCAAGTGAAGACAATCAGCAAGGGGAAAAAAAATGCAAAAATGAAAAACCATTTTTAAAAGATAAAGCAGGATTGTTCATTAGAGCTGATTCTCAGTATTATCTAAAGCTTTGTGATTATCTGCCAAAAAGAAAAAAGAAAGAAAAAAGAAAAAAGGAAGTTTCTCTAATTCCAGCCATTCATCTCTCCCCTCAATCAAAAATTAAACTTAACAGTTCCATACATCTTCCTGGATTAGCCTCATTTTGATTCAAGGATTTCAATCATTCAAGTAATCTGCCTTATTCTATTGCTATAACTACAAGTTAGTGTCACAGTCCCTGTGTTTCCTCTGGCATAGTACTTCCACAGTTATTTCAGTTGCTTGTTTTAATTGTCTGTCTAACCAGATAAACTCTAAGCTTTTAAGAGGGCTAGAGCCAAATTCTGCCTTGTGCCTCTTGTAACAGAATGCGGGACATGTACTAAACACTCGATAAATATTTGTTGATTGAATGAATAAGTAAATGAAAGCTATATATGCACTGTATCATTGTGTGTGCCTGTGTGTGTTTGTATTATCTCATCATTAGCTAACGCTTGGTGGTTTTTCTATCTTCCCAAAAGATTCTAAGTTGCTGAAGGGCCAATCATTTAATTTTAGAACATAACTGTAATATTTTATGGTACTTAAATACAGCTTAGGTCACTAATATGAAAAATCTTAAAAATTCAGAGATAAATAAGATCAAGGAAATTAAAGAAGAATTGGAGAGGAAACCAGAAGAAAAAGCCAAGTAAATATAATCCTAGGATAAGAAGATATTAGCAGAAGTATATTGTAATATTCATCATTAAGCATAATTTACTAATATGATCTCAAATTCAGAATTTCTTAATGAGCGGGGAACATTCCATTAGTTTACGAACAGGCAAGTACTAAAATGATAAACTGAGTAAGAATTTGATTTTTTTTTTGCTATTAGTACAACCAAGGGTCTTAAAAACCTGCTATAGCTATATCTATAGCTATCTATAGATATAGTACGTGATCATCTGGAAATTAAATATTCAATATATGTCTACCTTGCTTATATGAGATGCTGATGACATAGGAATTAAGAGGTTTTTGTCTACGCTTTTAATTTATTCTGAAAACTAAATTATAGTTCAACAAACATTTGGATTTGCTTTCATTTTCCAATTCAATAGTTTGTGGTTTTTATTTGCTCTATTTGGAAATTCCTAAAATACTACTATGAATATCAAAACGAGTATTTCACTCTCAATAATAATAATAATAGCTAATCTTTACTGAGTACTTACATACTGTCAGGCACTATTATTTCATTTAATCCTCACAATAAGCTATGAGAGATATCATTATTTTTCCTATTTTACAGAGGAAGAAACCAAGGTATAGAGATTAATTAATTTAAACTGTTCACATAATCAGTAAGAGACAGAGTTTGGATTCAAACCTATGTAGTCTGATTCCAGCATTCATGCTCTTAACAATTACACTAACAGAGTTTAGATATCTGCTATATTGGTTTTACATAAAATGGATAAATTACCTTAAAATAAGATAGTAAGAAACAAAACTATTACAGACACACATTAGAACTCCAAAGAATGTGGCAAGATAGCTGGTGCTTAGTTTCTGAGTTCCTGCCCTCATAGATCTTACAATCTAATTAGAGAATCGGAATATGCATTTAAAGTGTATAGTGATACCCTATGGTATAGGATGAGTACAAATGAGAAGTACACACAGGACTTATGAAAGTTGAGAGGAATAGGGAATTTCTAAGGACTGGGCCATCATAAAAGGCTTGATTGAAGAGATACATTTTAAAGGAGGGATAAAAACAGGAGGAAGAGTTAGGGTATTATAAGCAAGGGGAACTATCTGAACTCAATAATGGCTGAAGTACCAAGAAATGGTCCAATGGTTTAAATGCTTCATGTATGGAGGTAATAGGTGATGAGGCTGGAAAAAGTAAGGGCCATACTGGGGAGGAATTGAATGCCAGATTAAGGAGTTAGGACTTTACCTTCTAGACCTGCCTGATTCAATATAGTAGTCACTAGTTAGATGTGGCTATTGAGCATGGATATGTGGCTAGTCCAAATTGAGATGCACTCACTGTACAAGTAAAATGCACACTAGCTTTGAAGACTTAATATGAAAAAAGAATGTACTATATCTCATTAATAATTTTTATACTGATTTCATTTTGAAATGATCATACTCTGGTTTACTCGATTAAATAAGATATACTATTAAAATTCATTCCACCTGTTTCTTTTTATTTTCCTAACATGGCTAGTGGAAAATTTAAAATCACATATGTGGTTTGCATTTGTGGCTTATATTTCTTTTGGACAGAACTGTTCTAGGAAGTGAAAATAAATAAAGGAAGATGAACGAGTAGGGAATTCATGTAAAAAGTGTTTTAAGAAATTTGTTCTGGAATAAATGCAAATTTAGATTGTAAGACAGCTGGCTTAGTTTTTCAAGAAGTCAATGGCAGGAAAAGAAGAAAAAAACAAATTAGTAGTGGAGAAGTGCGACTGCTACAACTTAAAAGATATTTAAGAGACGGTACAACTAAATACAGTGTGTAGACTTTGTTTGGATCCTGACTCAAGGAAACCAACCATAAAAAGACATTTCTGAGACAACCAGGGAAATGTAAATAAGGACCAGATATTAGATAACATCAATGAATTATTGATCATTTTGGCAGAAAAATGACATTATGGAGATGAAAGAAAAAGTTGCAAACTAAAGTATACTTTAGAAATGCAAAATAATGTTGAGATGAAATGACAGAACACTTGGGATTTGCTGGGGGAGGAATGTGTATCTCTTACTTTACAAACATAGATAAATTAATAAATAGAAACAAGAAAGAAAGAAAGAAAGAAAGAAAGAAAGAAAGAGAGAGAGAGAGAGAGAGAGAGAGAGAGAGAGAGAAAGAAAGAAAGAAAGAAAGAAAGAAAGAAAGAAAGAAAGAAAGAAAAAGAGAGAAAGAAAGTGAATTGAGAAAATTGAGGTACTGTGATTATACTTTTCAAAATTTGGTTAAAAAGGAATAAAATAGATAAGACAATTCCCTAATGGATCATAAACCAAGACAAAGTGCCGTTTATGTAAAAACTCGAAGACCTGAGTGTAACTATATGAGGAAGGACTAAGCAGTGAAAGTGGAAGTTTGTTTGAGGGTTAGAAAAGTTTGAGGGAGTTTCATTCTGATAGTACTTTATTGGAAGATATTCAGAACAACACTTAATCCTGTCACTTTAGGTATTTCCTTAGGGCCTACACAGAAGGCAATTTGGAACCACGACTAAAACCAGATCCTTTGACTTAGTATAATGCTCTTTGTGCCTACTTTTAAACATGACAAAAATCTATGGAGAACCTAATCTATACTTTTCACTTTAGATCTGTTAACTTTCCTGCGTCATTTAGTTATTCTTTATAATTCATACCATCATAAAATAATTGACCATATCAAAATATTTCATTTACTGTGTTTAGGTTTATCTTGACTGCTTCTTGAGCTGAGATTTGGTAGAAGATAAAAAAGAAGGAAAGCAAGTCTAAACAATAACAACAACAAAACAACTTTAACATATCCGGGTGAAATTAAATCATGCTGCCAAGAAATAAGATGCAGTTTTCACCTCAGGATACAGAGCAAGGAAGAGAGCTCAATGTAAGGTAAGCAGCACAGAGAAAGGACAATAAAAGGGAACAACAGAACTGAAGAGAAAAAAATAAAAGGAGAAGGAAGAGGGGAAAATCTAACAGAAAAACTAACAGTGCTCATTTAAGGTGCCAAGCAACTACCTCAAATTGGAGCAATATATTCTGCTTTTTCTTTAAGCTTCAAAGATAGCATGGCTGCCCCGGGAATAAGTAGACTTGCTAAGAGCCCTGTTCTACTGCTCTCCCATTAGCTATCTGGAGTTAATCCTTGGTTTGTTTCCTCAATTACAAAGTGGTAATAATAACACCTGTTTTACTTGCCTCACTGGGTTGTAATGAAAGTGAAGCGAGATAGTAAATGTGAAAAGGCTTTGAAATTTTTTATTTTTTTAGCCGGTTGCTATTATCTAAAAGAAAAAAGGCTGAACAACCTTTCTAGAAAAAAAAATTAAAATTAAAACTGAAAAGAAAAACTTTACTTGGCTTAGGTTTCAATCTCCTTAATTTTCAAAAGAGAACATTCTAAGGGAAGTATTGGGACAATAGAGAAATCAGTTCACCACCACCCCCCTTAACCCCCCTACC